ATGGGATGGGAAAGGAATGCTGCACTGATACCATCTGTGGGTGGGACTGTTCATCAGATTCTAGCCTTTTTTGTCTTCCCTTTTGCTGGATAGCCCGACACAAAAATCCAGCCCAGAGTTTTCCAAGGCTTGTTTCTGCATGCCTCTAATGATTTCTGTGGGGAATTACTATACTCGATCAACACTGCAATTCCGGAAAGTCAGATTATACTAATTTAAGGAAGGGGGATCCCTTGCACAGGGGGCTGGAGACCTAAGCTTGCTTTTGCCAAGTTAACAGCACGGTGTATGCCAGATGAGAAAATGAAGGTTTCTGTACATCTTTATGAATTCTAGAAGCGTTTATAATCTGTTCCTTAAAGCAGTTCTGCTAAGATGGACTTCAGAGCTTTTCAGACCGCACCCGGGGAGAGCTTGTTAAAACGTAGACTCCGGCCCACCCAGCAGAGAGTCTGTTCCGCAGAACAGAGGTGGGGCCTGAGAGTGGGCATCTCTAACCTGCATCCAAGTGATGCTGGAGCTGCTGTCTGGGGACCACGCTGTGGAGTCACACAGTTGGAGGACTGCTTTGGGTCAGTCACCGAATCCCTCTGGGCCTCAGCCATCTCCCTGAGAATGGACGGAACAGCTGACATTCAGTGACGGCTTATTAATCCCTGGGCACTGTCCTCAACCCTCTGTACACACCACCTCATTCAGTCCTCAGGAGATGGTCTCATGGTGAAGGAATGAGAGCCGTCGATGGTCTACGGTTCTGAGCTTCTGAGCCGGCGCTGGCAAAAGGGCAGCCTGCAGGCCATCTGGGGCCGGCTGGTCTGTGTGGTCTGTCTCACGAGTTGTTTTAAAAATCAGGATGTCTCATGGGACATTCTGGATTTCTGATATCTTCTTTTTAAAAATATCTATTTTTATTTATCTGGCCGTGCTGGGTCTTAGTTGCTGCATGCAGGATCTTCAGTTGCTGCATGTGGGATCTAGTTCCCTGACCAGGGATCAAACCTGGGTCCCCTGCATTGGGAGCATGCAGTCTTTGCCACTGGACCACAAGGGAAGTCCATCTGCTATCTCCTTAAGTTTGAAGAGCTGGCAACAGTGGGCGCATCCGTGCCCAAGTGGTAGCGTGGTAACAACGCCGTGGTGTGTCTGTGTGTCTGGGTCTAAAGGGAGACTCTGGTTTACCAGCCCCACCCACCCTGCCCTACTCCAGCCCCTTGGGCATCCCATTTACCCACTGCTCTAAGACCACGGTTCTCTCATTTATATTTCAAAAGTAGTAAACTTTGAGCTTTCTGCTATTTCTTTCTTTTCTCCTGCTGTGGCATGTGCCTTGCAGGATCTTAGTTCCCTGAGCAGGGATGGAACCCAGGGTCCCAACAGGGAGAGCACCGAGCCCTAACCCCCGCACTTCCAGGAGCCCTGAAGCCCCTCTGCCACGTCAGACTGAAGCTGCTATTGGGTTCATGTACTCTGTACACTAGGTTTGTATCCGATTTAGTTATGGTAAATATAGTCCAAATAAACAATAATACCTGAAAACAAAAAAACCAAATGCTGTCAATATTATGAGATTTAAACCTTTCTTTCAAATTCAGAACACACCATTAGACCCCCAAGTTTCATTTCTACTTTTACCGTTTTCCTTGGAGAGGGCTGCTGTCTGTCCCCTTGTAACTTTTGCACAGCAGCTGATGCTTTTAAGAGAAATGTGCCCCCGAACACTCGTAAACAAAGCGGCCAGTGGCGCATCGCGCTCGCTGTCCTTTCACAGGGTCCTCTCACGATTTCCCTGGTGGCTGAGATGGAAAGAGTCTGCCTGTGGTGCAAGAGACCCGAGTTCCATCCCTGGGTCGAAGATCCCCTGGAGAAGGGAATGGCAACCCACTCCAGTATTCTTGCCTGGAGAATCCCATGGACAGAGGAGCCTGGCGGGCTACAGTCCACGAGTAGATTTGGACACGACTTAAGTGACTTAGCACGACTGCACGTCATTAAGCATCCAGCTTCCCGGTTGCACCAGTCGCGTCTCAGACACCTCTGGCTTAGCGACCCCCGTCTGGATCAAGCAGGGAAGGCCCTTCCCCTCACTGTATGAGGTCCTCCCAGCCGCACTGTTAACATCCGTGCTGAAGTTCGAGCCCTGACTGTTCAGCTCTGTGAACCAATAAATCATTTTTGAGTGAAGCAATTGGAGCTGGGTTTACGGTATTCATAATCCGAAGACTCCAAAGGCGGGAGTCTCCAGTTAGCTCTCTGGAGAACATGACCGCAGGATTTCAGTTTTACTGGGGTGGTTTCTTTCCACCCAGGTCAGTGCCAGAAAAAAGTCACTGGGTCCACAAATGTACTTAAACAAATGGCACTCAGGAACATCCGTGCCATTTCACCATTTTTCTATTGTTTCCCCAATTAGAAAACAATGAAGAACGTAGATTGAATGGATCTGAAAACAGATGCCTTTCCTAAATCCCCGTTAGTGTTTATCAGCGTAAGAATAATTAGAATAATGGAAACACACAAGAATAGAAGTTTTGAAAGTGTTTCAACGTCAACAATATTGAAATAAAATGACATGATGTGCCTCCTGACATGGTAATATGAGGATATAACATCGCATTCGTAGTATTCTTGCCAAATACTTGAATCTAATTACGAGGAAACAGACAAACCCGAATTGAGGGACCGTCTACAAAACAATCTGTCTCTGCTCTCTAAATAACGTCAGAAAGCTGAGCAACTGTTTCAGACTAAAGGAGACCAGAGATGTGACGTGTGAATGCAACGCCTGGTTCCTGGTTAGATGCTGGATGGAGGGAGGGGTTTTCTGTAGAGGACATTATGGGGGCAACTGTTGAGATTCTCGTACGGGCTTTTGTGTAATCCCCATGACTGTCTCAGTTAGATCTTTTGAATTTGATAACCAAACTGCAACTGTATAAAGGAATGCATGAGACCGTCCTTGTTCTCTCATGCGTGTCTTCAGGGGCTCAGGGGCTCTGATCTCTGCAACCAGTTCTCAGATGTTTCAGGAAAAGCAGAGATAAAACAAATGTGGTATGATCTGGGTGCAGGTATAGGCTGTACTTTTCACGCAGCTCTGTTCTATGTTTGAAATTATTTCAAAATAGGAAAGCAAGCAAGCAATGCAGTGCTTTTTTCCCCACCTGGAAAAAAAATAGATTAGTATTTTCCATGGCAAATTTCTCAACTGGAAAACAAAGTGCTTCACAAGTGTTTTTCAAAGCCATTATACTACAGTATCTTGAATAGACTCATATTACACTTTACCCAACACACCTAGTTTGTGTCTGCTGTCCTGGCATAATTAATAGCAAATCCGTTCACTCTCAAAAATGTCCCAGTGTCAATTATAGTCACTCTTATTTTCAGCCACTTTCTTTCTGTAATAAAGTGTCATATGAATAAGTATGCTTCGTGGAAAAAAAGAACTTTAGCATTTTTTAAAAAATGAATGAATTTACATATTATTTGTATAAAGGGAAAAAAGTCATCTTTACTAATAATATCTCAAATAACTTTGGTATCCATCCCTGGGGATTACAGTGAACTAGATAATTATAATGAACTAGAAAAAATAGATTTCCTATTACACGGAGAACTGAGAGCTTTTTAAAATGGGAAGGCATCTAAATACAGCTTGTAAATAAAATACAAACTCTTAACATTAATTTATAAAATCCACATCAAATGTTGTAAAGTAACTAGATGAATACATTAGCTTTTAAATGTCAAGACTTCCCACGTCTTCTAAGGTGCTCCCCAATCTGTTGAGAACTCAGCTACCAAAGTCACTGACACACACACATAACTCTTAAAGTTTGGTCACCCATAATTAAACCTTTCATCAGTCTAAAAGATGGGAAAGTCAGAGCAAATGCTATCACTAGTTCAATTCAGTTCAGTTCAGTCACTCAGTGGTGTCCGACTCTTTGCGATCCCATGAACCGCAGCACGCCAGGCCTCCCTGTCCCTCACCAACTCCCAGAGTCCACCCAAAACCATGCCCACTGAGTTGGTGATGCCATCCAACCATCTCATCCTCTGTCATCCCCTTCTCCTCCTGCCCTCAATCTTTCCCAGCATCAGGGTCTTTTCAAATGAGTCAGCTTTTCGCATCACTAGTTGCTGCTAACCATTAATTCAAGCACCTTAAGGCAAACAACCAGAAATGGGTTGGCTTTTCCTTGCATTTTTTTTCCTGGTCTACACCAATGAATCATGTGTAGGATTCAAAATTTTTACTTAGAAGATTTGCTGTTTTTAAACTCGGGGAAGGAATTGGTTGTCGTCCTGCATGCTGGCTGGCTTAGAAGTTAGTGCAGAGATCAAGTTAGCCAATTACAGGGTGACTAATTTGGAATTAGAAATGGCTCAGGAAGAGGGTGTGTTTTATTTCAGGCCTTTTACAATGTTCAGTATAAGTTGAATCCAATCCATATAGGCAGTACTTATACCTAGGGTGGTGATAAAAAGTATAAGTGAATTTGAATTCAGAAGAGAAACTGTCACTTCAGAAACAACTTTTGTCTAATTTCAAGTAATCAAATATCTAAGTGATAATTCTGGATGTGTATCATGTATAACCTCTCACATTCTCTGAATTTAACTGCATTTTAAATGCCCCAACCCTACGCTGGGCCCTTGGCAGTTCAAGTGAGGAATTCTAACCACTCAAATTCTAGGTGTTGAGCTTTTAAAAGTTAAGAAAGCTAGGCTCTTGTTATAACGTAGCAATTTTCTCCCTTTTCATTTTCTATTTTGGGTGCTTGCTAAATACTTGTTGGGTGACTTTTCATGTATTTTTGCAAACAAGAAAGCAGCCTTTATACAAGTCTATCTTTATTTGTAAAAAATAATATACAACTAAAGCTAATTTGATTTTTAAAATCAAAATTCATTTAGTGATAATGTACATTTTATAATAAAATTGTAGTAAAATACTGACATTTGATAGTTTAAACAAAGTATCATTCATGTAAAAATCATGTTGCATGTAAAATTTAATTAGAAAATTCATAGTTCACAAAAGTACATATATTTTGTTGATAGCTCATGAGGACATTATCATAAACTTACTTAAGATACAGAACAAAATTCACAGTTAGCTTGACATTTAGTACTATAAAATTTTAAGGTGAATCCACTGATATTTTTGTTAATAAGGTACACTTGAAACAATTCAGGCTACCAATGAATCGACATTTTACTGTATAACCCAGATCTATTGGTTTTACAGTATGTCTAGTAATCAGTTATTTCACCAATAATTTAAATGAGAGATCCAGTTGAAAAGACCACTGACATATACTTTTAGCGGGAAAATTAAAATAAAAAGCACTAGCAGCTTTGATTTCCATTTTCATGAATACATACAAGACAGATCTATATTTTTACAGTTAAAAGTTGTTCAAAAAGTCAAGCCCTGAAGTATTTCTTCCCCTAAGAGAACAGTTCTGATGTTAAAACTTTGTTTAAAAAAAAAACAGAGAGAGAGAGAGAGAGAAAGAGAGGTAGTATGTGAAAGTATTTTTACTCAAAATGTTGAACCCCTGCACCACTTGTAATATAAATGAAATGTAACCTTCTACTTACTAAATTTTGCCATTCAAGAGTTAAATTTGTAAAACTCAACAGAATGTTAAACCTGGAATGCCATTAAAAAATAGTGGTTAAATAAGTGGAAGAATTTCTATGAATTCAACAAAAAGTATACTGTTACATAACATTGTGCAGTTAATAGTTTAGTGATAATATGTTTAGTGGTACAATGTGAACAAAATACGATGAAGTATTCTGAGTCAAGTGATCTTCATTTAATCAACTTTACTTCATATACTTTTACCATATAGAGAAAATATCCTTCAAAACGGAGTCATTCCATTCTTCATTGTTTTAATAGCACACAATTGTTAAAAGGTATCCATTCTAGCCCTACCATAAAATTAATCAATAAATAACTCTGAGAGCAACATCAGTAAGCCACAGGGAATTCATGTTGTTCACACTGTTCTCAGTCTTTATATACAAGCTACCATAGCGCCGGTGCACCTCATACAACGAAGCCAGGCAAGGAACGAAAAGTTAGCAGCCTTACTCTTACCTTGTTCTAAGTGGATGCATCAGAAAGTAATAAATAGCCTCTTAACATTAATCGAGATACACTCTACCTGTCAAAGGTGAATACTACATACTTTCCATAAAGTGTAGGCAGTGTTCCTACAATCCCCACTAAGAAAAACCCAAAACTTCCATATAAAAAGTGCACAAGGCTGTCCTGTGTATAAAAATCTCTTAGTTTGTTTTTTTTTTTAAATGAAAATAATTCACACTACTCAAACACATTAAAAGGGTATAAAGGCAGACCAACAAAATACACAAAGAAAGGAATGATTTCCAATGAGATTCGGAATGAGGACAAGAAGACATTATGGGAGAGAGTCTCCCACATCAGCAGAGGCGATGGAACTGCCTTTCACAGCATTTAAGGGATGCCTGAATGGAATGAGTTTGTAAATGTGGAAGTTACAGGAGGGACAAACGCGGATCTGAACGACTGTTAAGAGTTTCTTAATTCAGGAACATTGCTTCAATGATTTATAACTTGAAGCTGCCACTAAAAAACAAGTCAGTTGGTTTGATTTCTTAGAAATTGAGAGGCGGGGGTGGGGGGTGGGGGAGCATTGGGAAAAACTGTTAAAATTAGCAACAGAGGAACATCTAAAAAGTCAAAATAAAATACGGGGCATATAGGAGCCGAGGTCCCCAAAGTACCAAATAGATAAGACTTCTTCACATTAGAAATTAAAAAATATAGTTAAGGGAAAAATTAACCAGGCTCTGCACAGCAGGTTAATATGCAACCACTTCAAACGGAAATGATCTAGTCCTTAGGGTGTTTAGTTCTGGGGAAATGTGCTCTAACATCCAGTTCTCTATAGACAAAATAGCAAAAGCACATCATTTCAGTAGCAAAGGCCCCTCTGTTTTAGACTTGAATTTACCTCTAACCCACCAAAGTTTATATGAATTATCAAACTACTATTTCAATAACATTTTTAAGCTTGCGAGATATATATATATATATATTTTTCATGCCTATCCCAGATCACTTGTTCAGAGGTATATAATGCTTGCAACTAGCCAAATTTACAGAGTCTCCGTGGCATCCTTGCTCAGAAGACATTCAAGCCGTGAGGGTCTCAGAGTGTGATGACTGTTCCATCTTCCTCTAAGAGTTTCTGGTCTGGAGCACTCGTTTCGAACTCGGTGCGGGCGCCACTTGCTACCGGTGGTAAGCTCACCTCGTTAGCAGGGATGAAACCGTTCTGCCCAGACTCGAAACTGAGTTCTACCTGCGTGAGCGACTCGAGGCTCTCGGCGCTGGGCGCGGCCCTGGGGATCTGCCGCGGCTCCCCGCTGTCCTCGATGACGATGTCGTCGTCGTCGCTGTCCTCCTCCCCCGGCTCCAGGCTGGGCTCCGGTGGCGGCGCGCAGCTGGGGAGGCTGTTGTCGGTCGACTGGCCGGAGCTGCCCGAAGTCCGACTATTCCGGACGACGTTGTTCCTCTGGTTGGCCGGCCGCACCGTGATGATGAGGTTGCGGCTGTTGGCGATCATCATGTCGGTGACCTGGTCAAGGCTCTTCCCGGATACTTCAATGCCGTTCACCTCCAGGACTTCGTCGTTGACAGCCAGCAGCCCCGTGCTCTGAGCCAGGCCCCCCGGCACGAGTCTGGAGATGAAGATGCCCGGGACCTTCTCCAGGCCATGCGGGGTCACCCGGACGCTGGCCCCGTCCCGGATGTAGAAGCCCAGCGGTTTCTCTGTGCCGTACTTGTAGAGACGCACCCGGCGGTGTGTTTCCGGGAGAATGTCCACGTCGATGATGGAAGACACAGGCCGGAAGTCCTGGGGCAGGCTAATGACTATGTGCGGCTTTTTTCTGTGGTTGTCGGGCCGCAACACGTTGGTGAGAACATTCTTCTTCTTGATGAGGGTGTCTGTACCAAACGCACTGTAGTCTGCCTCTTCTGTTCAAACAAATAAAATAAAATAATTATAGGAATGCCACGAAAATACACGTTTATCTATGGTTGGATCTGGACAGAAAGGGCAACTCAAAGCATATTTGGTACAGAAACAAAATTCATTAAATATTAGCCCGTTTCCATCAGATAAAAAACGGAGTGCAGTAAGAAGACGTGCTGTGCCAGGAAAAACCACTAGGTGGCCCTCTCAAGTATTCACCGTAAAATCACCAAAAGGTGACCTTAGATTTGATAAAGCTCAAGGACTTAAATATGGCAAATGAAATTCTGATAAGCCTCACACACACATTCTTGGCACCATTTATAACAAGTTATTTACACTGTATTTTCCCTACATTTTTTAAAAAAACCTCCAGTTTGCATGTTTATATTTGACTTAATGACATGAAATTGGACACTTTTGAACCTGTTTTAGAGGTTGTGCAGACAGTATACAGGCAGATCTCTTTTTATTGCGCCTCAGAGATAATTTTTTTTTTTTTAAACAAACTGAAGGTCTGTGGCAACCCTGCATCGAGCAAGTCTATCGATGTCATTTTTTCAACAGCATTTGTTCATTTTGTGTCTCTGGGTCACATTTTGTTAACTTTTGTGGTATTTCAAACTTGTGATCTTTGATGTCACTACCACAAAAAGATGATGACTCACTGAAGCGCAGGTTACTTTTTTTTTTTTTAAGCAAAAAGGTATTTTAAAATGAAGTTTTTTAGACATAATGCACTTATTTGTGCCATTCATGTGACTCACTCTATTGAGATAATCGCTTTATAGAACCCAAAAATATATCCAAGGTCCACCTGTAATTAAGTGGATACACATGAAATAGATAATACACATGAAATCATAATGAAATTAAATGAACATGTATCAAACACAGAATTTTGGTCTTCTGCAAGTACCTGCTCCCTCAGTTTTCTGGGCAAGTTTTTAATCTTTCATTTTCCCACTTTTCAAAGAGGCTGAGCTGAGACAGACACAGCAGGTAGGGGGAGGGTTCTGGCAAAGCTGAGCACTCCTGCCCCGTTTAATGGCGTGGCATCATGGCATCTCTCGCTCCAGGCAGCTTCTCTTCAAGGACAGTAGGAATCTGTGTGGCCAGCTCAGCTTGTCAAGAGAGATTTTTACGTTTAAAAAATCTTTCCATTTTAAAATCCTGCACCCAATTAAATAACAATAACGTGTTTAAGCAAAGTAACACCTGGGAGTGGGGAGTGACTTATTATTCAAGTCAGCCATTGATCATTTCTGATGGAAACTAGGGAAAACAGGGCACTAAAACTCGATCTTCTTAAATCACGCAGCTGGAGGTAGACAGCCTACAAACAACATCCCTCATCAGAGGATGAGCAAACAGAATTAACAGCAGGCACAAAAGGTGAAGCCACATTTCAATAATAACTAGAGTGACGATAAACTAAAAAGAATCTCCAAGGATTAAAAAAATTAAGAATTAAAAAAAGACAAAAATACCCCCACCACCCCAAGAACTAAAGTCCTAGTCTCAACCGATGCTACAGACAACAGTACCACCACCAACCCGTATCTGCAACAGGGCTTCCATCTCCTGTCTCTTGTCCCCTGACTCTCAGCCTCCTTATGATGACTATTATTACCTTTACTTCATAGGAAATTAAGGGAAAAATAGGAGTACAAGTTGGAGAAGACTCTTGAGAGTCCCTTGGAACACGAGGAGATCCAACCAGCCCACCCTAAAGGAAATCAGTCCTGGGTGTTCATTGGAAGGACTGATGCTGAAGCTGAAGCTCCAATACTTTGGCCGCCTCATGTGAAGAGTTGACTCATTGGAAAAGACCTTGATGCTGGGAAAGATTGAGGGCAGGAGGAGAAGGGGGTGACACAGGATGAGATGATTGGATGGCATCAGCGACTCAATGGACATGCGTTTGAGTAAACTCCAGGAGTTGGTGAAGGCCAGGGAGGCCTGACGTGCTGCAGTCCATGGGGTGGCAGAGTCGGACAGGACTGAGCGACTGAAGGGTACGAGACATGTCGCAGACAGGAGACCAGCCGTTCTCTCACTAGACCAGCAGCGTGCACAGTCACTTCACAGTGAACGGTAAGCGCGCATAGGGTACCAGAGCCTGGAGAACCTCAGCGATGCTTCTTTCTCAGGGTGCCCGATCACGCCTCAAAAGCTAGTTTCAGAGAAATGTACAAGACCAGGGCTGCCTAATCTGTGGGCACTTTTTACCACCCGGGGATAATTTTGCTTCATTTATGGAGAAAGTACTTATGCTGTGTTCTTACAAAGACAGAAATTTATTTACAATTTGGCTTGGGAAATAAATCCTCTGACAAAACAATCTTTTGGGCAAAATGTGGCCAAAAATCTATCAACAATCTTCTCCTGACTGTGTTCATTCAGAACTGTACGTGTCTTATAATCAATTAAGAAAGCTCACACAATTTTTATGTGGGAAATTTCAGACGATACAAACAGAGAACAAAACCAAGTTGCCTGCATACCTATTCATGGGAAACCTGACCAAAAGACCCCCCAATCTGCATAATTTGGCATCGCCTCCAGACTCTGTTTGAATGCTCTCTGCTAAATTCTCAAAAGCAATATGCCCCAGTACAAAGGCACCTTTGTTCGCCCATCTAGCTAATCAGTTTCCAGCCATTGGGAAAAGAAATATTTTGGCGGAAAGCCAGGGTGCAGGGTGTCGGCTTAAAAGTGTAAAGGTGAACGTGTACAGGGCCCAGGGCTGACGCTCCACCTGAGCGTGTCTGTCAAAGTGCAAAACTCCGAACGGGATGGAGGCCGGACACCTGGCTCATGGCAACCTTCCACTTGCATAAGCCCAGGCTGACGCAACGGCACGTGACACAGGCTCCAGCCGCAACGCCTCACCTCTCCCGAGCCTGACCAGCTCAGCTCGCCGACGGATGAGGCTCTCCACCGGGAATGCCGCCGAACAGCCAGGCTGGGTGTCTCACCTCCTTACACACAGAAAGCGCCTGTGCTGCAGTCGCCGAGAGGGAGCCCCGTGGGCCCTCCCTCTGAGCCTCTCACTGTTTAAACATTGATTCCCAAAGCCCTGGCTACCTCATTCCTCAGCTCAGAGCCGTGAGTCAGGACTGAGGGTCCCCCAGTGAGTGGCAGGCACGGACACAACAAACAGAAGCCGACAGTGAATATAAAGCAGACCTGAAAACCAACGAACAAAGTGTTTTCATAAAACCCAGAAACGTCCCTGCACAGTGACAGAACAGTGACCACTCCTGGGAGAGTCACCAAGAAAGTTTAAGACTATGATGCGTTTCAAGTTCTGCTGGAAGACAGGGAAGAATGAAATAGTTTGGGGAACTGTTCTACTCAAGGGGTGGACAACCTTTTTCTGTAAAGAGTTGTACCATAAATATTTCAGGGTCCTGTAAGTCGCACGGTCTCTGTTGTAAAAGCAGCTGCAGGCAATACAGAAGGGAGTGAGCATGACTGTGTTTCCATGAAAACTGTTACAAAACAGCGAGCAAGCCCGAGTTTGCCAACGTTTGTTCTCATCCAAAATGGTTAAATGAAATAGATGTGGCAGCTTTTTAAAAGGATTAAACGTCACTTAAAGCAGTATTCAAGTTCTGCAGATCCCTTCACTTTCTAATGTAAGAAAAATCAACCACCAGCTACGTAAGAAGCACCTACTGCTGCGTGGCCACGCCTTGTGCTCTGGGCCGCAGATCCAACACAAACCACGCGCAGGTACTTTGCTTTTAAGGTGTTTAGAGACTAACAGAGACGGCAATTAACCAAGAACCCGAAACCATTATGATTACAGAGGTGCCAAGAGTTGTAAAGTACCCTGGGTTGAGGGAGCCTGTCAGTGGGCGTACAAGGGCAACGGCAGCCTTGCTCAGGGAAGTGAGGCTTATGCTGACACTGGAAAAGAAAGGAGCAGCTCATTGGGTAGGGGGGAGGGAAGAACTTGTAGGCACAGACGGGTAGGATGGGGCCTCTGGAGAACGCAGGCTGGGAGAGGAGCAGGGAGGAGGAGAGCCAAGTCAGCAGACAGGGCCTTGCGGACAGACACCGGCCCCCCGGGGAAGTGGGGAGGATTCCGGACTTCAGCCTAAGGCCAAAGGGAAGAAACACCAAGGATTTTCTGGCTGTAAGCTAGAGAAGGGACCTGCAGGGCAAGGTAGGAGGCTATTGCAGGTAATTTAGGATGGTACCTGGCCTGGAGCAGAAGCAATGGAGATGGGGAGATAAGTCTGAAAAATAATTAGAACACAGTTTTAATAGGCTTGGTGATGGACTGGTTGAAAAAAAAGAAGTATGTGTCAAAGGTGACACCCAGGTTTCTGACATAAGCAACTGGTCTCATATTCTGAGATGTTTCTCTACAGTTTCTTTTTATTTTACTTAATTTTATTTCTTTTGTTAAACTATTTTTTTTTTACAACTTACTATTAAAATATATTTTCCTTAGGCCATTTCTAAATTAAACCCGACTCATTAAAAGATAACCTTAAAACACATCTCCCAAGTCACATCTACTGCACGGCAGAGTTCTAAGAGATGACTGAAGGGCCACCGGGTTCCAGGTATCTGGGCCATAAGGCCATGTCCTAAGGCAGATGAGGCTCAGAGCAAGACCAAAGTGTCCCCACCACGCTCCTTTGAAGAAACCTGCGGTACGCCTGTGTTCGTCTGATGGCACGCAAAAGCTGGCGGCAATGTGGCAAGAAGCGGTGGTGTAGGTATCCTGATTGGATCTGGCGAGGAGTCCACCGAGTCACAATGGGGCTCAGACCTGGCTGATCACCATCAGGACGGGCTGGGAGGCTTTTGAAAAAACACATTTCCCTGGCCATCCTCCAAACCTACAGGGATGACCTGAGTACTGTATTTTTTTTTTAAAATTTTTTATTGGAGTACAGTTGTTTTTCTTTTAAAGGTGTAACCTTTAAATATTGTCTAAGATTGTTTTACATACAACCACCTGCACAACAAGAGAAGGAAAACTCTTTTTCCCTCAAATAAAGGAGGAGATTCTACACTCCAACAGGGCGGAGGGGGCTGGCAAAAGACCTGGGGATCCTCTCTGAAAATAACTTTTCAGATACCAGGTTTTTCTGTTTTGATTCTTGCTTCCACAATAACAGCCCTGGAAACAGCGTCTAGGGTTTTTCCCCTCTAACGATAAATTACTGTAAAACATAAAACTTTTCAAGATATGCTACAATGTGACCTCCAAAATCAGGCTATGAAGTGGTTTATGCCTTCAATCGTGAGCTTTCGCTTCAAAGAAACCTTATTTGATAGAGTGTACCAGATTTTAACAGGTCACATGGTTTCAAATTTTGAAATTGTTTTTCTATCTGTCTTTTTGGTGCCATATCAAGAGCAACCCACTGCCCTGCTGATTGCTAAACTGGAAGCCACAGACCAGAAAAACAGAAAGCCTGTTATCATTAAGCAATGAAATGTAACTATACTTAATATCATGTTTTATATTAGTTTCCTGAATTTAATGTTCATCAAAGATTATGCAGAATCAGCATTCTACTTAAGCATCTGTCCAGCTTTATTTAAAAAAAAAAAAAGTATCTCCACGAACTACAGGGCACCGAGTAACTCTGTAAGACCACAAACACATTAACCCTACCTAAGTAAGGTAATTCCAGGTCTCCAGGGGGCAATCTGGTAGACGTGGGTCGGTGGGGGCCCTAGCTGGGGTGGTCGAAGAGGCCCCTCTGAGCAAGTCACCCACACTGAGAACCGAGGGAGTGGAGGCAGCCACGGCTGAGCTGCAGGAAAAGCGTTCCCTACAGAAGGATCAGACGCGCAGAAGCACGGAGGCGGCGGCAGGCCCCCCCAGTCCAGGGGGCGGAAATCAAGCCGGCGTGGCTGTCAGGGTTTGGGAGAGGAGGACAGGGGAAGGGGAGGCTGTGGGGCCCAGATCAGGAAGGTTCTTGCCCTGGGTGTGATGGGAGCCACCGGAGGGTTTTAAGTGGGAATGAATCGACTGACTGACTTTGCATTTTTTGCTTAAGTCATATTTGTATTAAACCTAACAGTTTTAAAAACAAAATTCTTCTGCTGAACACACCGCCTTTTTCAAAGTCAAATTCTAAGGGCTATGAATCCTACTGGACATTTACCTCTACTGCACAGAAAACTTTTTGTTTACTGTGTCTACTTCAAAAGTCCCTTTTTGAAGAAGGGACTAGCAGAAGATAACCACCCTTCAAAGAGGTTAGGATTAATCCTATGAGTGTTACAATGCCAGTAACATAAACATGTGATCTATAATCCACAGCCTATAATCTTTCTAACAAAGGGGATAATCCAACGAGTTTGTCAGATGGCAGTAGTTTAAAAATAGTCATTCTACATTTAAATACACTTCCAAATAGCAACTAAATTTGTAATGAAAATTACAACTGCTAACAAGGAAGGCCTTTATTCAACAATAATGATTTCAATTATTCTGTTTAAAATGACGAGTTCCACTGACATGTTTTGTCTTCTCCACTGCTGTTCCTCCTTCTCCAACATTCTATGCATAGCTTTCTAATAACTAGCCCTGGTCTTCGTCTCTGCTAGCTTTTCTGTCTACTCTCAAAAATTTCAACTATCGCTTCTGCAGACTTTCAACTCTTTGCCCACCATTTCTGATTTTGTAGGTGACAAGGCTGAAACTCGCCAGCCAGATAAGGTTTTTTTCTGGCCTAAGAGGAAACCAGTTTTCTTTCCGAGTCGATCTCTCTTCCAAACTGTGCCTGTTTTATGGCACTGTCCCAGCGATCAGGCTCGAGTCCAAGAAGCTATCTTCTGCTGGGCTCCTCCTCAACTCTCTGACACCTGGTGAGGAGCGTGGTGCCTCTCAAGTCCTCCCCTTTATCTACCTCACCTCGTCTCCCGCTGGGGTGGAAGCAGGCAGCGTCTCTCAGCTGTGTGCTCCTCACTCGGGTTCATCCTCAACAGCCCACAAGTCTTCCTGAAGCAACATCCTGGCTGTACCAGGCTCCTGTCACTTATCAAGGAAACCCATCTCAGGGGTCTCTGGGAAAATGAGTTTGTGTGATTCTAACTATTTTGTAAATAGTCAAGTGGTCTAGATATAAGTTACCCTACCTACCCTTGAAGGTTTATTTTGTTGGTGGACTCGAGTTCCTCCAAACCAGAAGCAAAGATACACAATCAGTGGAATTTCAGAGCCCTGGGAGTGGTCCAACACTTATCAACTGGTTTGAAATAAAGTTTCGCCTTCAAGGGTAATCTCGGCCCATTCTCTCAAACTGCCTTCTGGGTTGGTTTACAAACACAGTAAGGCTTTAATTATCCCACCAGTATGGGGCTGGAGGCTGTCATGTTACCTCTCCAAACCTCCTCATTTTCCAAAGACAAAGGAAGAAACAGCACGCGTGGCGCCCATCTACAGACAGACACAGATACATACATGGAAGAGGCCACAAAGTTAAAAAAAATTTTTTTTAGGACTTTTTAAAATCAAAATACATTTCAGTGCTTGCCATATATAGTGGTTATTTAAAACATTCTTTTGCAATACCAATTATCAATGTTTACATTCCTCCAAAATAATGACTTCCTAATTTTCCAGATAATTAACTAGTTGTATTTTCTGTGAGAAACACCTTAGAGGAAAGCTAACATTGAGCGGAGCCCCAGTCCAAGCAAAGGTGCTGCACGGAGCTCACACCCCCAGCAATGCTGAGAGGGCGTGCCCGTTCTACAGATACAGACACTGCAACCCGAAGACTGAACAACGTTCCTTCAGGTACCTATTAAGTAGTAAACAGTATTTCAAAGTTGTGACCGACTCTTTGTGGACCCATGAATTGCAGCCCTCCAGGCTCCTCCGTCCATGGGATTTTCCAGGCAAGAATACTAGAGTGGGTTGCCATTTCCTCCTCCAGGGGATCTTCCTGACCCAGGGATCCAACCCCTGTCTGTTGCATCGGTAGGTGGGTTCTTTACCACCAGTCACCTTAGTTGCCACCGAAAAAGGAGAATGTTGCTCTGACTCCAAAGCCACACTCCTCCTACCACGTCTTTCTGAATGGACAAAATCACATTCGACATGAAGATTCAATATATTCCTAACTTCCATTAAGAAAAAGAATCCAAGGGTTTACAAAGTAATCAAAACTTTCTAAAGTACACTTAATTAAGTGTACAGATGTTAATTAAACCAATAATATCACAGATGTCTTAACTCACTTGTTAATTTGGTAATAAGATTCACACCAAACGTCTAATTCCTTAAATTTGTGGCAAACTCTGTATATCCTATCAATGAGGAAAATTAACAACTTCTAATTTTCAAACAGTTTCTCTGGACGTTGGTACTTACCCTTTTTCTGTATAAAGATCCTCAGCAGTGGGTTGGCCGTTGAAACGGCTTTGTGATAATTGTCGTCATTATTTATAGGTAGTAAATCGCCGTGGATGTCTGCATAGCCTACTAAAACGTCAACATTGGGTATTTTATGAACATGTTGCAGTAATCCATAAAACTCCTCAAACTTTCCAGGTTTTGATCTTTCCAGTGAAAACCGACGAAATTCAGCTCCAAACTACAAACAAACATATTAATTTTAAAAAAGGTAACAGGATCCAATCTTACAATGCATGACAGAAAAATTCACAGACATGAGTTTCCTTTAATAAAGAAGACAGTTTCAACCACACAGTTTATAGTCAGAAACCTCACTGAAAGTGAAAGTCGCTCAGTCGTGTCCGACTCTTTGTGACCCTATGGACTATACAGTCCATGGAATTCTCCAGGCCAGAATACTGGAGTGGGTAGCCTTTCCCTTCTCCAGGGGATCTTCCCAACCCAGGGATCGAACCCAGGTCTCCAGCATTGCAGGCGGACTTGTTACCAGCTGAGCTACCAGGGAAGCCCCTAGAAACCTCATTATCTGGAGATAAAACAGCTTAGAGAAGACAGAAATGTGCCTGCTCACAGCTGCATCTCTTGAAGGGCATTCCCTTCAAGAGATGCAGGCTCAACTTAATCCCTGGGGTACCCAGGCCTCACTGGGGACTGTCCTGCAGAGTGACTCAGCTCAAACAAACCCTGTCTGGAGTCCAGATCCTGACAACAGTCTTCCCTCCTCACTCAGGCCACGGGGTAATGGAGATGTGCCTAAGTCTTTATTTTGACTGTTAGCAAAAAGCATCTAGGTTTCCTCCCCCATAAAAGGAGTAACAACTTCATAGGAAGTGGCAAGAATTAACTGCAGCATATGCAAGTAGGACTTTGAACTTCTTGGCATTAAGGTACCATATGAATGGACGCATATCATAGAAGAAATAAGTCTTAAGATAAGAAGTGTCTTCCCAATGTTAATCATAAAAAAAAGGGCAGGTTTATTAATACATTAAATATATGTCATACAACTATCTAATTAATGCAAAAGTGTTTATTATGTGCTTGGCACAGTGCTAGGCCCTAGAGAATGAAAGGCTGGGGCCTGCACCCGAGCTCAGCAATTAGTGGGTAAAGAGAATAATTATATGAGCGGTATTAAGGAACCACACAGACAGGGCGGACAGCACTTCCATCACGCCCAGTGTTTATCTTCACAATTCTGACACTCATGTCTGCTTCCCCACTCTAAAATCCAAATGCCACATGATTCCAGTGGTTCTTATCCAACACGAAGGGCTGGCTTCATCCAGTCCATGACAAACACGATCTGCGACTCACTACAGAACAGGCATGGCATCTCCTCAGATGTGGAAACCTGGGACAGGCCCATCAGCCTTCCTCAGAAGGTGCCTCAGCCACACAAGTCTAGGAATGCTCTATAACTATAATCACGCTCTTGGGACTCACTGGGGAGACCAGTTATCAAAGGCGAGGCCCTGGGGTTGATTAAAACAGAAAAAATTTTTTAAAACAAACTGTCTGCCAAATGTATTTGACCACTGAATTCCTTTTCCTCTAAGTATCTATTATTGGGTAGTAACACTAGTTGTACTACCAACATGGCCTTAAACATCATGCTCAGAAAGTCCCTACTGGAATCATTTAGGTTACAAATGTGTCCATTCACTTCCCCAAGGATTCCATGGGCTCCCTGGATTCACAGGCTTTTGTTATGGTAAAGAAGTTTATCTGCCTTGGTTATACCCACACTATTTGCTAGTTTTCAATTAAAATGAAAACTCACTAAGACCATCCCTTACCTCTAATAAACTGAAAGTTTCCAAAACACATTCCTCAAATGTAAATACTAACATTTGTCAAGAAAATAAGATGACTCACACCTAAAGCGCTCAAAAAGTTTAGTCACACCTTCACATTTCAAAGTAAATAAAAACTGGGGAACACCCTTCGTATCAGTCAGTCTTATGATGTTATCAAAAGTCATAGTTTCTCCTCCATTTTCTTTATTCTGGTATCGCAACATCCCAATGCATTCTGATTCATCCCCGGGCTTTATTACTTCCCCTGGTGAATGGGAGTAACAGCTAATAATTGAGTATTTTAGGGCTGCAATGTTTTTGCTAAAGCTTGTGGATAAAAATTCTTTGCTCGACATTTTTTTTCTCTTAAATGTTATGATAAAAACAATGGGAAATTGTAAGGCTTCACAGTAGATGGGCCCTTTTGCAAAGTTAGCAGAAAAAAAAAAAAGAGAAATTGTTATGCTTCTTGCAGCAGAACAACAGGATTAAGAGAACTTTTTACTACATGAAGAAAAATACAAAAAGAGAGAGAAAATTAAGACCCAATCAACAACTATTAAAACTTTTTTTTGGCCTGGTCTAGTTTGGCCTGGTCATGGGGATAGATACCCGTCACCCAGCATCTTTTGGTACAACACTCTAGAAATGTAACCTGGATTTTAATATTGGTTCCCCATGAACACTAACCAGGAAATGTACAGCTCAATGACTATCCCAGGTCTTTGATATCTAAGACTGCTGAAGAACATCACTTTGGTTAAGAGCTCTCTCAATTCTGCAGAAACAGGAAGATAAATGTTACCAAAAAGTTACATGGTAACTGGTATCACAATTTAACTATACTTATATTTGCATGATCCATTACTTTATTTGTACCATTTTCCCCTTCCATGAGCAAAAGATATGAGGTTGACACTTGCTTTTTATGCAGAAGAAAAAGAAATCCTGAAATGTGGATCTGCATACCAGAGTTGGGGTCACAACCTCTTCATTATCAACTTTGTAAAAAGCTGTGAAATCACCACCAAAGCAGTGAAAATGGACGTATTGTTTCACCCATCTGTCCAAATACTGTTTAAATGGTAAAGATGTCAAGTGCTTTTATTTAACCCCTTAAAAACAAACATATAGTTAATTTAAAAAAAAGTATAGTTAAAACACAAGGTGTCAGAGACGCACTAGAAATCGTACCTCCTCTGTGCCTATTGATCAGCGGCTAGAACACGAGGGGGACCCACTTTATGAGACCAGGTTCTCAGAATGCCTTGATTCTGCTTAAGAGATACGGTTCACCAGAAGTGCAGTAGAGCAGGCCAAATATATAATGGGTAGTGTGGGAAAGATTCACAAACCAGTTGACAGAAAAGATGCACGGAAAGCCTGAAATTCTAGTCCCTACAGGCTCAAGGTTTCCTAATCTGAAGATAAATTACCATTTGACTGTATTTATAAGAGCACCTAGAATCCCTACTCATTTTTTTCCTATGACAAAAAGTTAAAGACTTGCTACCAAGATTAGGACCCCTGAACTAAATTTTAAGATTACGCAAAATTGTGTTTTTCTTTTCTTAACCTCAACGCCCACAAACCCAAACTAGATTTATAACAGAAATGCTGTGAGAAGGTTCAACCATTGGGCACGGGACCACTACTACCACTATATGCCAGAGGAAAAACTCTCTATATTTTGTTACCTTAACCCTTAGTTCAAGCATGTCACTTCAATTCGCTATGGCAATTCCATGGAGGACACAGGAGAGAGTGTATTCCTGAAACTGCTATATTTCTGTTCTTATTAAGCAGAAAGGTTTTTGAAATAAGTACCTATTCTGATACAAGTTAAGTTGAAAATAACATTTTAAAATGTTAAAAATGAATGCAGATATTAGTTATAGCAACTAACAGGACTTTACTTGTCAACTCCAGATAATAAAAACCTTTCTACCCCAGAGAGCCTTCCTTACTCTACTTCACTGAAAATCACTCCTTGATTTTGCATTCTCCCTTCCACCCCATCCCCGTAATCTTACACTTGGTAAGGTTTCAGTATTTTTGAAGTTGACAAGCTTTTCCTTTTCTCCTATTCTTCCCTGTGTTTTGATCTTCCCAACTCTTATTTTAAATGTTCATGGGGCTCAGCTCTGTGTGCTCTCTGTAGCATTCCAGAAGGCCTAAAACTTATCTTGTATTTAAAAGGGCTTTAAGGTTTTGTCATAAAAAGCAGAGCTTGTTGAAGTCAAAATCTTTCTGGGCCCATGTCTTCTCCGAGAATCAGACTAGATTATCTAAGTCCCTTCTGGCTCTTCAATTCACGAAATGCTTGCTTGAGAATGTTCCTGGGGCTGCCGATCATCTTCAAATTCCAGCTCAAAACCTCCTTTAGAAAGCATTCCCTCACTAATCCTGATACACTGTCCTGCTCAGGGAGCCTTGCAATTTAGGAATTCAGAGGATACCCACACGTATTCATCAGCAGATGGGCATACCGTTGGTCAAGAGGGAAAACACTTGACCTGAAAGAGTAGCAGGATGGAATGAGAAGGGCATCCAAACTCAAAACTGTGAAGTGCCACTCACACGAAAGGTGACAGTGTGCATTTTACAAGATTCAACGCATACCAAAGTTCGTGCTAGAAAAATCCCTAGTAGGAAGCAAAAGCTAACTTTTACATTTGGGTGACTACGGGTGTTTCAAACACTCTTTACTCACAGGCCAGAAGGCAGAATTCCTCCAAACCTTTCGTACCACGCTGCGCTCGCTCAAATGTCCCCCCATCCTCGGGTATGCCTCGGGCCTGACTCCCATCCTTGAAGGGGAATGATTTTTTAAGGAAGGGGATTAAGGGCTCAGCGGGGCTCCTGCCTTACCTGGGGGCGGGAGCGGACACAAGGCCCCCCCATTCTCGGCAAGTTCATTCCCCACCGTCTCCGGCCCCCAAGTCCCCCCAGTGCGCCCCCCGCGGCCCCAGACACTCGGCCAGCCCCTGGGCGCCCCAGGCCCGGTCACTGCGCCCCCCGCCCCAGGGCACCCCCAGCCGGCCCGGGCCCTCGCACCTTGCTCTTCACCTCCATGGTGCCCAGGCAGCCGCTGCCCGCCCCGTGCCGGTGGCCGCGGTTCATCCTGAGGCCGGGCCCGCGGCGGCCTCCTCCAGTCGGGCCGCCCCTCGGGGGCGCGCGGGGCGATAGCCTCCGCCGAAGCCTCGGCGGCCCGCGCTCCGCCCCCACCCAATGGGAAGCGCGCACCTGCGCCCGCGGCGCCAACCAATCGGTACGCGCCTCGCGCCCCTCGTGGGCGGGGCCTCTTGCTCGAAAAACCCGCCTGCCGCCGTTCGATTGGTCCCGCGCGGCGAGGGAGGGGTGGGATCACCTGAAGCCGGGAGGGGCCCGTCGGACCCTGCAGGCGAGCTCCAAAGCGCATGCGCGGGCCCTGGAGTTTCCGCCCAGCGAAGGCCGGCCGGAAGCGCGAGCGCACCTGGAGACGCGCTGGGCTGGGTGGGCCGTGTGCGCACGCGCGGGTGCGCGCTTGGTTGCTCGGGACCCGGCTCGGGCTCGCGTTCCGCTGGGCCGTGGGGGGCGCTTTCCGGCTGGTTGCCGGGCGCCGTGGGGCTGTCCGGTTTCTGCCACCCCTTCCCTCCCTTCCACTTTGGGATGCTGCAGCCTCCAACAACGCCCCTCCGTCACTCATTTGCGTCCTTTAGTCGTCTGGCTGCAACTTGGATTGCAAAATTCCAGTTTTCCCGCCTCTGCAACAGTAACTGGAGAAAAATCTCAGGGTTCTACTGGCTTAATGTCGTTGGTGGAGACTTTCTGCAGGTCCCGTGGAGTCGAGTGGGCGCTGGGAGGGAGGGGAAGTGGGCAAAGGCCGGGGAAGTCTCCTCGAAAGTCTGTACTTCTAGATCGGCCCTCCAGGGATTCCCCGCCCCCCTTGTCTTTTAAATTTATTTTTAACCTTTGAGGTCCTCTCCCTCCAGCCATTTCTGTGCTATTCACTGTGTCCACCAGTGACAGCCGCCAGATTGTGTTTGTCTCTGTCCCTCCAGTGGGATGACCAAGCTATGTTCTTGATAACAGAAAACTGAATCCTTCTCTTTAAATGCCCAGAGCTGGGTTTCTCCTCTCAGGGATCCTTTGCAGCACTGGCAGTGCTGGTGTGGTGAGGAGACCTCCAGGCCCCCCCCCACCCACTTGGCAGAGGGGCTCATCACAGAGCTGTGGATCTCTCCTGTGAGCTGGACCTGGGCCTGCGAGTGGCAGTTCTAACCTGAAATGGCCAAGAACAGCTGGCTAGGGTGCTGCATTCCAGGGGAGCCTCTGGCCCTTCCTCGCCTTGTCTCTGCCTTCATCCCTCCTCACACTGGTAACCCCACCTTCCCAGCACTTGTGTCAGATTCCAGTTTCCCCGTGTATTTTGGAGAAGGACGGCTCTGAAAGGCAGCGACCCCTCTGCTTTGCTCACTGCCTGAGTGCTCACAGGTACTCAGATCTGTCTCTGCGGGGTGCTGGAGCTGGGGAGGGTGGTTTCTCCATATTTACATAGCCCCACCTGAGTTCCAAGGTGGGCTTCTCATCTTCCCGCTCTGAAGGGTTCAGTTCACCAGGTATCTGTGGGGGAATATAAAGTTGTTCTCGCCATTTTGGGTGGAAGTCCAGATGGAAGGGGCACCATCCCAAGCTGAATCATTGTAAAGTCTGCCTTCTCTACCTTCTGTTCAAAAGCACCTGCTATGTGACTCAGGCTAAACTGGAAACGAAGTGTGGTGCTATGATGGGCGGCACGGCAGTTTGGTCTCAAGACCTCTTAATACTCTTAAAAATTATGAAGGGCTTCCAGGGATTGTGTTTATGTGTGGATATGTCTTTCAACAGTCATTATTAGAATGAAAACTGTTGGGACTTCTCTGGCAGTTCAGTGGTTAAGATGCCTGGCTTCCAACGCAGGGAACACGGGTTCAATCCTTGGATGGGGAACTATTTAATAAGATCCCATATGCTGCACAAGCGTTCAAAAAATACAATTACATTTGAAAAACAAAGTTAAGTTAAAACTGAGAAATGTTTAAAACACGAGGGTACATAAGCACAGGGACCTTCCTGGCGGTCCAGTGGCTAAGACTCCAGGTTCCCAATGCAGGGGGTCTGGGTTCCATCTCTGGTCAGGGAACTAGATTCCCCGTGCTGCAGTTAAGACCCTGGTGCGGCCAAATAAGTAAATAAAAAGAAATGCTAAGAAAAATACACAAACACACATTCCGGTAGTCATCAGGGACATGACATCATCCCAGGTCCCGTCCCTTCTGGAAAATTCCATCATATACCTGTGCGACAAGGAGAGTGAGAAGAGCAAGTGACATCTTAGTATTGTGAAAATAGCTCTGGCTTTGAGAACCCCCTGAAAAGGTCTCAGGGACTCCCAGGGACCACTGGGATATCTGTACTCAGCTGTTACCCCCTCTTCCTGGCTGCCAGGGCCAGGTGGCTGGGCCCTGGTTCCGTGGGAGGGAGTGTTGAGTGGCTGAGCTTTATTACTGTTATCGGTACTGATTTATCAAGCCCTTTTAAAAAGGAAGTTCGTGGGTGCCAACACACCTGCGTGGGCCCTGCATTCCTGGAGGTGTCGTCATGTCCTCTCTGCCCTCCCCCCGGGTGTGGCACCCCTGTTGGACTTTCCTTTCTAGAAGGAAGCGTCAGGCCCGAGATTTCTGGATCTCCTAAGCGGAATTTGCTCTGAGGCCTGCGTCACACACGCGCCTGGGATGTGTAAGGAAGGAATGTAGAAAAGAGTTTGATTTTGATAAAGGTGTCGTGGAGGAGGGGAGCCCTTTCATTCTGAGAGGGCTGTTCCGGGCACGAGTTTGTTTTCAGGGCCTGAAATTCAGCTTATCTCCAGAAGCATGAAGCCCAGAGAAACAGCTGAAATGGAGAAGGGTTTATATTCCTGTTTCTTTGGTTTGAAGAGCTGAACCCTAATCTCCTTTCTCTCCACCCCTCGCTCCCCACCCCCAAATCCTCAAGCTAAAGCTGATCAAGACCTATGTGGGGAATGAAAAGCTAGTCCCAGACTTGGGAGAATTCCTACTCAGTGAGTTAGGGAGATAAGCAAGGTGAGTGGATGACACAGACTCTTTAAATTACAGGTTCACAAAGGCATTATTCAGGAGTGATGATCACACCCGTGTACTGTCATCTCCCCAGCCCACCTCCGCCATCTGAAAGAAGTTAGTGAGGGTTTCATTTCAGCTTCAGCCCTCTTTCCAACACTGTCTGTCTTTAGTCCTACAACTTCACACGACTGCTATGTCTGTTTAAATGTACCTTGTGAGGTGGAAAGAGTTTGTAATTTTCCACCATTCATTTTATTGATTTACATCTTGCATAATGGTGCTTTTTTGTTTTCTTCCTCCTCTCAGGGGAAAAAAAAATTTGAAAAGAGGTGGCAAGAAGTCACACATAATGGTGGTGAGATTTTTTTCAAGGAGTTTCTCTTGCCAGTTCTTTTTCTCCTTGATTGCTCAAGTGCCACTTTTGATGGAGCTGGTTAATAATTCTTTGAGAGAGAGGTGAAGTGTATACTTATGAATCTCAGACGACTCACCAAAGCATTTTAAGCCCTTTAGCAGAGGTGGAATTAAGTCACGTGATCTGTTTTCTGGTTAATAGCTTATAACACTCAGAAACGAATGAGTTATTTTCCTGTAGCCTGTAAGAAATGAACTACTGTCTTAGGTAAAAACCCGTCTTTTTGGGAGGCAGCCTGTACCAGGCCCAGTGCACGATCCCTGCCCTCTAGGAGCTTGCTTTCTGACCCTTTCCCTCTGTGGGCCTCAGTTTCTTTACCTGTAAATGCAGGCATCAGATGAGATCATCTTCATAGTCCCTTCCAACTCTCAACATTCTGTGGTACCCAGGGGAGATGGAGACTCATCATTATTTCAGCATCACCAGGGATGAACTAGAAATGAAAAGGGCACTCTTTCAGTGTCATCAGGGTCAACAGACAGGCAGCAGTCATCAGCTAAAATGTTCCACTTCCTGGGAGGTGTTGATGAAGATGATAAATAACATTTATGAGGGTCCACTCTAGGGGTTTCCCTGGCGGCTCCGATGGTAAAGAATCTGCCTGCAGTGCAAGAGACCTGGGTTTGATCCCTGGGTCAGGAAGATACCCTGGAGAAGGAACTGGCTACCCACTCCAGTATTCTTGCCTGGAGAATTCCACAGCAGGCGAAGCCTGGCAGGCTACAGTCCATGGGATCCCAAAGAGCTGGACATGACTGAGCGACTAACACTTTTACTCTGGTGCCAGGAACTGTGCTAAGTTCCTTCCCTATGAATTATCTTACTTTTTAAAAACATATGCATGTATCCATGTATTTGACTGTGCTTGGTCTTAGCTATGACACGTGAGGTCTTCAGGCTTCACGGGGGCATGCAGAGTCGTAGTTGTGACCTGTGGGATCTCGTTCTCTGACCAGGGTTAGAACCTGGGCCCCCTGCGTTGGGAGGGTGGAGTCTTAGGCACCGAGCCAGCAAGCGAGTCCCTATCTCATTTACTTTCAGGAAGAGCTTTACACTTGGAGGCACTGGGATCTTAACTTTTCTTAAGTGGTGGCTGTTAATTTGAGCCCTTGCTCTGCCCCTTGCTGGCTGGGTGACCTTGATCCTGTCCATCCAACTTACTCAGAGCCTCGGAGAGAAACTAACTGTGAAACTGCTCTGCAAACCTCAGGTTTGGTGAGAACTCTAGTGGTTATTATTTAACACATAATATTGCCTACCAAAGCCTTTGGTAGAATTTCAAGAAATTCTTAGAAATAAAATAGCAATATGTAAGAAACCATTCTTCTTGTTTTCACGCAAGAAGGAACAAGAAGTTTTAGCGGCCATCTTTCAGAGAGTCCAAGAGGCAGCCTGGAGGAGCCATTACGCCATTAAGGATGTGACTCCCAGATGCCTGCGTTCTGTGCTGCCTCTGCCATTTTCTAGCTGTGTGGCCCTGGTCGAGTTCTCAAGCTCTCTGAGCCTCGGTTTCCTCACCTGTAAAATGAGGATAGTAGGAGTGTTATTTGCCTTCACTCATGTACAGAGCATTTAGGCTACGACCCAGCAGTGTAAGGACTCCTTCAGTGTTACCGATTATTGTCCTTATTGCTGTCTAATTATTTTTATTACCTACTGTCATAATAGAATTCATTGATGTAATTAAGTAATAAGTCTCAAC